TTCTAACCTAAAAGCTTTTTATTGTCTAATAGATGAGTTGACAGTTGAATATATAGAAAGCACTTACGAAATAGTGACGAAAGCAAATTTTCAGATGAGTCTGCTTAACCTTTTTGCTTTAGTTTGTTTTTTTGTGACGCTGGGATGACACTTGGGGAAAATGCTCTACCACTGAGTAGTATCGCCAGTTCACAGTCTACCCAGAGTCACCGGTGTTCTGATTCTACCACTCAAGCGCCTTTAGCAAATTTCTTAGTTTGCCCAGGTCTTCACTTCCCCATCTATGAAATTGACAAGATAATGAGCCTAAGTCATAGTAATAAAAAGACTAATATTCACAGAGCACTTAGAATAGTACCTGGGACAAAGGACTCATATTTATTTATTATTTTTACTTTATGTGTATGAGTGCATTGCCTGCATATAGGTGCACCTGTGTTGCAAATGCCTACAGTGATCAGAAGAGGGAGTCGGATCCCCTGGAACTGGAGTTACAGACAGTTGTTGGCCACCATATGGGTCCTCTGCAAGAACAGCCAGTGCTCTTAACCACTGAGCCATCTCTCCAGCCCTGGGCCTGAGTTTTTATTGCAATCTGGTCACATGAATTCAGGTGTGAAATTTTCTACCTGTGACATCATGCGGATTCAAACTTTTGGAGCATTCTGGATTTCAGATTGGGATATTCGATTAGTACTAAAAACACCAGAAGACACTCAAGTTCCTACTTCATGAATGCATTTCACTTCTTGGCCAGAGTTGGAGTCATACTGCCAAAGGGGAATTTGTGTAAAGCTCCTCTAGGAACCTCCTCCAGCCCTGCTGTTGGGTTATGTGTAGCTGCTGCTGCGTGGGCAGTCACTCAGGGAGCCCCTGACCACCTTAGCCAGGGCATACAGAGAACCTCCTGCTCTGCCCCTTCCTAGTGTCTTTCCCCAGTGCTGCTGTGGGGAAACCTGACATTAGGCACTGAACACTGAACTTCGCTGAGGTGTCAAAAGGACAACAGGCCAAAGGCATTTCCGATAGTGGGAGTAGAGTGAGTGAAGGAATAGGCCAGGATAGAGAGGTGAACATAAACTGGAAGTGGCCAGTGGAAGGGGAGGAAGGCCAACGAAGGGACTTCTAAGGAGAAGAATCACGTAGATCTGTGATTATGGCTAGAAGCTGCGGCAGTCAGGGGGCCTTGAGATGGGTGAATGAAGATAAGAACAGCAGGTCCATCAACTTTAAGAGTATTGGGGGCTGGAGAGACGGCTCAGGGGTTAAGAGCACTGGCTGCTCTCACAGAGGACCCGAGTTTGGTTCCCAGCACCCACATGGCAGCTAACATCTTCTTGATGAGTGATGTGGGAGGGCCCAGCCCACTGTGGGTGGTGCCACCCATGGGCAGGTGAGCCTATGTTGCATAAGAAAGCAGGCTGAGCATGGGCCAGGGGAGTAAGCCAGTAAGCAGTGTTCCTCCGTGGCCTCTGGTTCAGCTCCTGCTTCCAGGTTCCTGCCCTGAGTTCCTACCTTGGGCTCCCTGATGAACTGCGACCTGGGAGATGTAAGCTGAATAAACCCTTTCCTCCCCAAGTTGGTATTGGTCAGAGTATTTTGTCACAGCAATGAAGAACAAAC